AGATTCCACTGCTGGCTGAAATTCTTAGCTTTCAGATTTTAGGTCATGTCACCTGGACCTAGCTCACTTTTTTTTTTATCAATAAGTATCCAGTCATCTTTCATAATTTGTGTAGCTTTTACCAAGACTATTTAAGCTGCTCTCCTGACTTTTATAGTGCTTAAATACTTAATGCAGTAGATTTCCTGCATGCAGTAGCATTTTAATCAAAAGTTCATATTCCTTAGAATCATAAAATACCAGAACTGGAAGGGACTTTGAGAGAGCATCAAGTCCCGTCCCTTGCCCTTGATATGAGATTTCCATGGTAGGCCTTGATAGTGTGGGATTCAGTATCTCGCAGGGCTCTGTCACATAACACCATGGAGCAGGATGCAGAACAAAACACTATGAATGATCATAAGTGGCAGGAAGTTGCCCATGTAAAGTTCCTAGTTAGAAAAATCCCTGATCTCAAAAAGTTTCAGACAGGTTAGCTGTAAAGTCATTTTTAGAGTCTTGTAAATCAGCAGATATCCACTTTATATCTGCAGATACCAGTATCCGCGGATGCAGATATACACGGCTCCTTTTTGCGGATAAAGATATGGATGCAGTTACAAATTTTGTATCTTTGCAGGGCTCTACTCCTTTTTCGAGGGTGGTAGAATATGGAATTAAATATAGAATTGCCCGTTTGCAGCCTTCCACCAGAGCTTAGTCCAGTGGTTTTCAAACTGGGGGTCACGACCCACTATGGGTCATGGAATGTCCGGCACTGGGTCTCATTGCTGCAGGGTGATCAAGTGACCAGTGCGGGGGCTAAGGCACTGCGCCCTGGAAATGGCTGGCAACAGGGCCGGCTCCTAGGTTGGGGATGGGAGGGAGAGTTCACAGGGCTCTGTGCACTGCCCCTACCTCGAGCACTAGCTCTGCACTCCCATTGGCTGGGAACCTGCTGCTGGATACTTCTGGGGCACAGCATGATCTGTGGTTCCAGGAGAGGCAGGAAGCTGCCTTCGCGCCCTGGCTGCACCACTGACCAAGAGCTGCCCAAGGTATGCCTCTCCTGCCCCAGCCCTGATCCCCGCCCCCAAAGCCGGAGCCTGCCCTTACACCCAAAACTCTCTCCCTCAGCCCCCACTCTAGTCAAATAATGTTGGGTCACGGGCATCAACAATTTTCAGCTGAGTCATGAGAAAAAAAGCTTGAAAACCACTGCTTTAGTCCATATTAAGTGCTACTAGTAACCATACATACAGCGGCTCTGACCCCAGAGTGATATGTAGGGCTGCCTCAGTGAGAAGCCATACAGCTAGTTTTTACATGACACAAAACCTTGCTTGATGCCATGTGCCGTTCAGATTTCTGTGTTGACCTTTAAGCCACTTTACTGCTTGGTACAATTGACTACATCACTGGATCTCTAAGCACTGTTGCAGTACAGGTTGAACCTCTCTAGTCCAGAACTCTCTGGAAACATCTGTCGTCCAGAATGATTTTAGTTAGCTGGATGTCCACTTTTCATGGGTGGCCAAGTTTCCTGCGGTCCCATAAAGTTTGTTTACAGTCACCCGTCCTGGTTCTCAATGTTCTGTGCTGTTCTTTAGCTCTAATTTACCCCTAAATGTCCTCTAACAGCCCAAGAAGCAATAGAAGTAATGCTGCTAGACAATATTGACCTTCCATGGTCCAGAAAATTCTCTGGTTCAGAACAGGTTAGATCCCGAGGGTGCCGGACTAGAGAGATTCATCCTGTAACAAGCAGCATCAAGAAAGGTGACTACAAGTGCCAGACGAAGAACTATCTATCAGTAGATACCCATCAAACAGTTCCTCTCCGTAACAATTTGTGAAAATCAGACACTAGAAATTGAATATCCTAGACACATGTGGAAGAGATCATAGCTGGTATTTCAGAGAAATCTCATGTTCCAACATGACTGGTTTGGGGAGGTGGAGAGAAATTTTGAAGGGGTTGCTCAGCTTTCTAATGTTATGATGCTTCCGCTAACCTGTATGGTCAGGTTCTTCCAGATCAGGGTTTAATTTGTGCCAGGGCTTGTCAGGGCTGAGCTCTGGCACCCCTATGCTTGGCAGTTCATAGCCCTGGCACTTCTGGGTTTCATCAGTTATAAACATAAAAAAGTTGCTTGAGGCTTGGCACCTCTTTCATTACAAATTAAGCACTGCTCCAGAGCCTTCGTAAACAATAAAATTATCATGACACAGGAGAAAATTTTGGTAGTGGAATTAGCATTGCATAATAAAACTCCCTTACACCTGGACTAAGATAAAAATTAAAACTAACTACAGTATTTCAGCTCAGAAGGTATATAAAGAAAGCATGAAAAACATACCAAATACAGCAATAACACCAATAAAACTTTGCTAACCTACCCAGTGTTTTTCCACCCAAATCTTTCCTAAATATCAACAAAGACTTCATAATAAAATTCTGATGTGCTGTTTCATAATTCTAAGACTTCATTTTTTTTACAGGATGCACTATCGACAAACAATTCTGTAATGCAATATCCTTTGTTTACATACTAACGGCAAAATTCAGTAATTCATAATGGATCTCCTAGTATGTTTTACTTTGCTTTTACTATACATATCTAAAAGACTTAAGGTCCTATCATAAAACCTTCCAGAGGATATAAGTAGTTACAGGCAAACTGATGTAAGTACACTGAGAGGTCTCTAAATACCATGGAATACCTTGTTAGCTTAAGGCTAGGCATAAACCACTTTGGTTTGGCATCTATCCAGATATTTATAAGGTGCCAGTTGCTATATTATCTTGGGAAGCCATCCAAGATTAGTTCCATCAATGGTGAAAACAAAAAATTCAGTTTACAAGGTGCTGGGGGCCAGGGGCAGGAGATTCTAATGTCAGCTACAATGCCTGAGTAGGGATGTTCAATTTTGATTAATTAGCTAATCAGTTACTCAATGTGCTTCAAAGGTGAAAGTGTTGCGGGGAGCATGGGGCCAGAGGGGGACTCAAGCAATCCCCCACTGGCCCCGTGCTCTCTGCGGTGTTTGAAAGTGGCAGTACGACAGGGAGCCCGGGGGCAGCTCTGGACTCTGAGTCCCCAGCTGACCCTGGGCTCCACGTGGTGTTGCCGCTTTGAAACACTGCGTGCAGCCCAGGCTGAATGCGGCGTTTCAAAGCGGCAACACTTCATGGAGCCTAAGGTCTGGCCCCGGGCGCCACGTGACGCTGCCGCTTTGAAGCACCCTCTTCTTTTCTTTCCCCCCCTCCCCCAGCTGTCTCTTTCTGATAGAGCAGTGGTCCCCAACCTTTTGGGGCTGCCGGGCGCCCGGGGGCGGGGCTGCGCATGCGCCACGCACCCGGGGCGCAAGAATGACTTGGGCTGGCCCTGGTCACTCAGCAGGCGCATATAAATGCCCCGGCGGGCACCGCATTGGGGAGCACTGTGATAGAGGCAGCATGGGGCGAGGGGAGCGACTAGTCAATTAGTGTGTCAATTATCCAATAAGCATTTGCTTATTGGATCATCAACTAGTTGTTCACATCCTATGCCTGAGTGCCTACTGGTTCAAGAATGTGACCTTATGACTTGGATAGTTTGGAGACCGGGGCCCAGTCTTGTCATCACTAGTTTCTGTTGCATTAATATCACTTACCAGGAAAATGTCTTCCATGTCAGTGAAGCCTCTCTGTATTTGAGAGAGAGAGAGAAGAGAACACAGCAGCTAGGAGAAGAGGAACTTGTGGTCCAGCTTGTTCCCTTGCACAAACACTAAGACAGAATTCTTGCTTGCTTTTCTTGTGTGTGAGAAGGGACTTCCCGCTCAGCCTCAGACGGGGGCCAGCCAGATTTCAACCAGTTCTTCTTTAAAAGTATCATTCTTAAGGCTTGTGACTTTCCATTTTTGGTTTTGGACCGGTGTATTCTGTTAATTGGAATTAGTTTTTGAGACGTGAAACCCCATAGGGCATGTGGCATAAAGAATCTTAAATATCTATTACTACATTGTATTTTCTTAAAGTACCTTTCATTCGGAGACCCCAAAGCATTGTACAGATTATGCATGTGATCATGGAGCTATTGTAATAGCAATAATAACTGGCACCAGTACCTATCAGTCTTCATTTTGAAAGTATTTAACTCTTAATCCTTTGACACCTTTCTGAGATTGGTTAGTGATGTATTTGCTTTTGAAAAGTTTATCCTGTCATTGAAACTCAACAGGAATGTAGGCATCTAGGTGCCCATATCCATCTCTTAGGTGGTTTTGCAAATGTTACCCAAAACCTCTGATTTGGGTTCCAACAGAAAAGGGAGTGTCTGTTAAAGGCAGGATTGTATCCTAGGAATCCTGAATCTCTGGATGGTGTTTAAATCACATAGCAAGGGAAAATAGAAATTCTCCACTTGAAACTACAGGGTGATTTGCATTTAGGCAGACTGTAACCACTCAAGTTGGAATTTCACCAGAATGATGCTTGACCACTTCCTGTTTTTGTGGAACTTGGAGGGTGGAGGGAGAGGTCTTTGGCAAAAGGCCAGGATCTGCCTTTCCCGCCTCACACCAGAAAAGCAGCATGGAAAAAAATTTAAATAAATTAATGGAGATTGCCTGTCTCCTAGAACTGGAAGGGACCTTGAAGGTCACTGAGTCTAGTCCCCTGCCTTCACAGCAGGACCAAGTACCATCCCTGGCAAATTTTTGCCTCAGATCCCTAAATGGCCTCCTCAAGGATTGAGCTCACAACGCTGGGTTTAGCAGGCCAGTGCTCAAACCACTGAGCTATCCCTCCCTCCTTGGGGCTACTCCCTTCCCATGCATAACCAGAATGACCAGTAGTGATCCTTCCTTTGGCCATTATATTAGCCTTTTCTTGACTCCGCGGTGTCATAAAAAGGTGCTTTAATTTCCAGTATTAAGGTTGGTAGAACAAAATGGTGCCAAGTGGCCTTCTTGTTCATTGTAATTGTGTAGCTCCTCATTGAAGCTGCATGGACTAATTGCTTTTCTTTTTCCAGATTTCCCTCTAAACTCAAGCATTTGGTTGGATTCCTAAAAGCACGGAGCTTGGATTCTCTCACTGTTTTTTGGACGTGGCATGCTGTACACTATCTGTGCTTGTGATCCAGTGATCTAGCACTGGGTATCATGGCCCACTCCAAGTCAAATGGATCGTACTATGCCCTGACTGCTATTGGGTTAGGAATGCTTGTCCTTGGGATCATCATGGCAGTCTGGAACCTGGTCCCAGGATTTGGCCATACTGACAAGCCTTCCTCGTCTGCTGGAAATAGTAGCTTTCCAGAGCATGATGGCGGAGGAATATTGAAGAGTAAGACCTTTTCAGTGGCTTATGTATTGGTTGGGGCAGGAGTGCTGCTGCTGTTGCTGTCCATTTGTTTGAATGTCCGGGACAGAACGAAGAAAAGACAAAATGAGGATATTGCTAGAATTCAGCAAGGAACGTCGGCTGAACCTCATCATCAAGAGAACAGGTGAGTCTTTCAGTAAAAGGGTGCTGGGTCTGGTGTACAGGTACAATTAAAAGGTATTCTTACATCACATGTAGAAAGTAATGTATTAGGATCAGTAATGTAATTTTAGTACCACCTCCTAAAATATAGTTATCCAGGCATATAAACTCTGGCATGTCAAATGTTAAAAATATAATTAGGCAGGCCAAAAATAATTTGAAGAGCAACCAGCAAAAGAGACACAAACAGAAAAAAATTCAGACGCTTGCCAAAGAATCACTGGATGATTGAGGTGCTAAAGGTGCATGCAAGCAAGACAAAGCAGTTGTAGAGAAGCTAAGTGAATCCTTTGCCTCTGTCTTCACTGCAGAGGATGTGAGGGAGATGCCCACATCTGAGCCATGCTGTTTAGGTGACAAATCCTGAAGAACTGTCCCAGACTGAGGTGTCCTTAGAGGAGGTTTTGGAAAACATTGATAAATTAAACAGTATCAAGTCACCAGAGCTATATGGTAGTCACCCAAGAGCTCTGAAGGAACTCAGGTATTAAATTGCAGAACTGCTAACTGTGGTAGGTAACCTGTCACTTAAATTGGGCTCTATTCCAGATGACCAAAGGATAGCTAATGTAATGCTAATTTTTAAAAGAGACGTTGGCGGCAATTGTGGCACTTCCAGGCCAGGAAGTCTAATTTCAACACCAGACAAATCTGGTTGAAACTAAAATAAAGAACAGATTTATCAGACCTAGATAAACACAATGTGTTGGGAAAAAGTTAACATGGCTTCTGTAAAGGACAGTCGTACCTCACCAAACTATTAGAATTTTCGAGGGTGTCCACATCATGGAGACAAGGATGATGCAGCGATATAATGTACAGGCTGAACCTCTAGTTGGACATCCTCAAGATCTGACGGGTGCCGAACCAGAGAATTTGCCGAACCACGGGAGCTCAATATTGTAATGAGTGGGTCTCTCTCCATTTTTATTTTGCTGAGGTGAATAAATGGAACAATGCTTGCTGGGCTGAGTAATAATGCATGACTGTTCTGATACACCCTATGTAAGCCTATGCCTAGCCAAGGCTTATCAGCTCTCTTCACAACAAAGTGTTAATGGTATTACACAATTTTATTTTATTGACACAAGGACATAAGTAGATAAAGCATAAAAACATGCTTATGCTTCACTAAGCATAAGCTTACCAACACTTCCACTGCTTACTGGTCTCTTAGAAGGCATTTAGGGGTAAATTAGAGCTAAATAACAGCACAGAACACGGAGAGCCAGGACTGATGGCTGTAAACAAACTTTACGGAATGGGGGGAACTTGGCCATACCGAAGCTAGGTGGACATCAGGCTAACTAAAATCATGCTGGACCAGAGTGCCGGACTAGAGAGGTTCAACCTGTATTAATTTCATTTGGTAGCCCCTACTACGTGTGTAATGGGAACTAGTAAATAACTTTTCCTTATTTACTTTCTCTACCCCAGTCATGATTTTACAGACCTCTATCACATCCTCCCTTAGTTGTCTCTTTTCCAAGCTGAAAAGTCTGTCTTATTAGTCTCTCCTTTTATGGCAGCCATTCCAACCCCTTCATAATTTTTGTTGCCCTTTTCTGAACTTTTTCCAATGCCAAGATACCATGTTTGAAAAGAGGCGACCACATCTGCACACAGTATTCAAGATGCGGGCATTCCATAGGTTTATATGGAGGCAATCAGATGATTTTCTGTCTTATGCTCTATCTCTATGGGCAGCAGATTTACAACTAACGTAAGGAAGTACAGTCAATCTACAGAACTTGTTGCCAGGAGACACTGTAAAGGCCAAAACTATAGGTGGGTTCAAAAAAGTATTAGATAAATTCATGGAGAAGAAATCCATCAATTGCTGTTAATCAAGATGGCTAGAGACACAGCCTCATGCTTTAGGTGTCCCTAAACTTTTGACTACTAGAAGATGGGACTGGGTGACAGGGGAGGGATCACTTGATGAATTGCCCTGTTCTGTTCCCTCCCTCTGACACATCTGGCATTGGCCACTGCCGGAAGACAGGACATTGGGCTAGATAGGCCATTGGTGTAACCCCTCATGTTCTTAAGTGTCAAGCTTAAAACATGTGATCCAAGCTGTAGAAAACCTAGTATATAAGGAAAGGTTAAAAAAGACTGGGCATGTTTATTCTTGAGGAAAGCAGACTGATGTAGTATTTGGTAACAGCCCTTAACGTATTTGAAGACTGTAAGCAAGAGGACGGTGATCATTTGTTCTCCATGTTTGCCAACGGGAGGAAAAGAAGTAATGAGATTGATGTGCAGCAAGGGAGATTTAGGTTAGATATTAGGAAAAATCTTTCTAACTGTAAGGATAGTTGAACACTGGAATATACTTCCAAGGGAGGTTGGGGAACCACTGGAGGTTTTTTGGAACAGAGTAGACCTAAGTTCCCTATAAGCTGAATGGCTGCCCAACTACTTACTATGCCCCGTGCAGGGGCTCAGGCCTGCAGTCGGAACAGATTAGACCTAAGTTCCCTATAAGCCGAATGGCTGCCCAACTACTTACTACGCCCCGTGCAGGGGCTCAGGCCTGCAGTGGGGAGAGATGTCTCTCTCCAAGCCCTGAAACTGCCGTGACGGGGGAGAGAAGCACATCTGCCTACCGGCCCCAACCCAGAGCTGCCGTGACCAGCGGAGAGGTATCTCTGTCCACCAGCCCCAGGCAGGGTTCCCTGTAAGCTGAGCACTTAGGGAGCTGCCCAGGAGAGATTCAAATGCCACCCAGTTGATTAGCAGTGTCCACAGCCTCCCACAGCTGGCAGCATGTGTTTCTATTGGTGGTGCATATCCACACATAGTTTAGAGCATGTAACAACATTTATTCTGCACCTGGATAGAAAAAAATTAAAGGGAACATTGGTCCCAGCACAGAGCTGCCCCAGCCGGGGGAGAGGCATCTCTGCCTGTCAGCCTCAGCACAGAGCTGCCCCAGAGTAGAGAGGTCCCTGTCACTTGGCCCTGAGCTCCTGTGATGAGAGTGGGAGTTGTCTCTCCCCAGGGCAGCCTACACCCCAAACCATTCATTCTCAGCCCCACCTCAGAATCCCTTCAACCAGAGCCTTCACTCTGCCTCCCCAACCCCTTGGCTCCATCCAGGGGTGTCCCTAGACTAGCGCCCTAGGCGAACCATGCAATCGGGGCCCCCACCTCCAAACCCTTCAATGATATTGCGCTTAAATTTGGCGCTCCATTTAACTTGGCGCCCTAGGCGACCGCCTAGTTCACCTATATGGACAGGCCACCCCTGTCTCCACCCCCCACCACACATGGTCCATGTGCAGAATGACTCGTTATGTGCACCAATATGGAGATGATACATCACCTCCATATTGGTACAAATAACAAAAGCCATTCCTCGCATGGCACACTGGATTAGAGAGGCGTGGTCTAAACCCACGTGTCCCTCACGCTGGCCGCTGGCCACTAGCCACATGTGGCTATTTGATCTGTTTGAGTTTTGCTAGTTGGCTTGAACAATGTGGCAATTTGACAGGTTGAGGGTAGCTAGTTTGCTATAGTGATAGCCACTGTAGTGGGTACTACTTCTGAATTGGTTGGACACCACAAGTTTAGATATATTTGGTCTGGCCTCAGCAGTAGTGGCTGGACTAGATGATCTCTTGAGATCCCTTCCAGCCCTATATTTGTATGGTTCTATGAGAAAGTTGATAGTCTTGGATGTCAGGAAGGTGTTTATCCCTCTGTACCTATCATAGTATAATCGGCTAAGTGAGGCTACGTCTAGACTATAGGGTTTTTCCGGGATACCCGGATATCCCAGAAAAACTCTGCTGCGTCTAGGGAACGTGTCTGCTCTTCCATTTTTTTTGCGGAAGAGCAGATGCACTCTTTCGAAAGCCCTGTCTTTCTCCTCCTATGAGGATGAAGGGCTTTTCCAAAAGAGGGGTTTCTTCCAAAATTTGGCCCAATGTAGACGAGCTACATTTCAGAAAAGCCTCTTCTGAAAAAACTGTCAGAAAAAGGTATGCAAATTGTGGAGCGCAATTTGTGTATCTTTTTCCGATAAAGCCCCGCAGTCTAGACATAGCCTGAATGGTCAATGTTCATCTTCCTCAGAAGTATAAGCTGCTGGCCACAGCTGGAAACAGCTTCCTTCACTGGATGGACCGGTGTTTAGAACCAAGAGGGCACATCCTAGCTAGAAAGCTTAGGAGACCGTTTGCTTCTCTAGTGTAAAAATGCGATGGTAAGGTGCGCATCTTAAAACCCACACACCTAGCCTGAGTCTTTAGCTCCCCCTACCCATACACCCTAGCTTCCTGTCCTGAGCCCCCTATACTTCATTCCCCCACTTAAATTTCTTACAGGTACTGTCCTATTATGACCAACCCCCACTCTGAACTCCCCAAAGCAGATTGCAATCGGACAGTACCTGTAAGGAATTTAAATTACTTTCACCTCTGGTACAGGTAATGTGGATCTCTCTGCTGTGGCTTATTAAGTTCAGTAATACTGTAAAGTTACGAAATAGCCTTTCAGCAGCATTTATGGAAGTATGTACAAGAGCTGCAGAGAAATGGAACAAACTTAAACATCCGGGCTACGTCTACACTGGCCCCTTCTCCGGAAGGGGCATGTAAATTTCACCTATCGTAGTAGGGAAATCCGCGGGGGATTTAAATATCCCCCGCGGCATTTAAATAAAAATGTCCGCCGCTTTTTTCCGGCTTTTAAAAAAGCCGGAAAAGAGCGTCTACACTGGCCCCGATCCTCCGGAAAAAGCGCCCTTTTCCGGAGGCTCTTATTCCTACTTCAAAGGCGCTTTTTCCGGAGGATCGAGGCCAGTCTAGACGCTCTTTTCCCGCCTTTTTTAAAGCCGGCAAAAAGCAGCCTCCGGAAAAGGGCGCTTTTTCCGGAGGATCGGGGCCAGTGTAGACGCTCTTTTCCGGCTTTTTTAAAAGCCGGAAAAAAGCGGCAGACATTTTTATTTAAATGCCGCGGGGGATATTTAAATCCCCCGCGGATTTCCGTACTACGATAGGTGAAATTTACATGCCCCTTCCGGAGAAGGGGCCAGTGTAGACGTAGCCCCACTGAAGTTGTGCAGTTCCTATTCTGAGTCAGGGAAACAGAAATACCCAGCCAAAGAATGTCTTTGTTAGCAGAATGTTTTAAATAAACAGTTTACTAACATCGGGTCAACATCACAGGGAATTAGATGACATAATCTGGCAGTGTGCAGACCCGGATGGTGTTTGGTGCAGACTGTATCTGTTCCCAAAACATTGCTCCTTTCCCTCTGAAGCAGGACCACCGAAAGCTGGGAGTGGGATAACAGGGCATCAATGGATCAATATAAATTGCCATGTTTTGTTCACTCCCTCTGAAGAAGGGATATATGTAATTAGAGCATAAGATGGCAACTCCAGCTTCATTTAATTGGAAAATTCCATGATGAGACACATAGAAAATCTTCAGTTATAGAATGACTGAATCTGCAGATATAGCTCTTGTGCTGTAACAGTTTATGTGAAGGAAAACTTGCTAATAAAATGCAGATTGTGTATGTAATACCCCACATTATAGATTGGCACATAACAGTATCTAAGAGAATTCCTCTCCCCTATCCCTCTCCCCCAAGAAAAGAAAAAAACCCCACATGTACATGAATATACCTTCATTTGATGTCTTTGTAACTAGTGTATACCCCTCTCATTCCAATTGAGTGGTATGGCTGTCAAGGAGAGATGTTAGAATAATTCTTCACCTGTCTGTTGGAAGAGAAGCAGTATTCGGATATTCCTTTTTGGGGGGAGGAGTGGAGGGTGAAATGGAGAAGCAAGAAGTAATTAATGCAAGATGCCTGAACTGTAGCTCATTAGTCAGAGGGCTATGAAAAGGCACCTTAACAATCAGTTTCACAAAAGAAAGAGAAACTGGCATTTCCAGTTTGGTACTTAAACAACATAAAGATGCAAATATAACGCCTCCTGTCTTGGTCCGTCTTTGGTGGGTTGGCATTGCATTTAATACTTGACTTTTAGTTTTAGAAGAATTTTAAATTTTAACACTTGGCAGCTGAACGTAGCATTTCTCATTTGAGGATTGTGAAGAGCCTTACAAAGTGATTTTTTTGAATGGGCACAGTGAATTGTCAATTGTGGTGAATCCTGGCTGTTAGTATTTCCCCATTCCTGCCGTACAGGCACAGACTTGAAAGCATATCAACCCTTTTGTATCTGGAAAATAATTAAAGTTGGAAAAATGCATACTCATGTTCTTTGCCTGCTTATTTCAATGACACACTATACTACATAAAGTAATGCATAAAGTATCTTTGTTGCCTTTTTTAGTGTACATAAAGCAATGTAGCAGAACAAAAGTAATCAAATTACACCTATACATTTCTCCAAAAGGTTTAGCAGAATGAAAGAGGGTTAACTAGATGTCCTAAATGGATCTTTTCCCCACCTCTAACTTCTGAGTTTACGATCATTGCTGTAAGAACCCAGCATATGATCACATTACAGATGTGTTATACCACCAACATCCCAATATTGATATTGATATTAATCCTTTGAACTCAGTTGTACACTCTAAAACAGTGTTTCTCAACCAGTGGTATGAGTACCCTTAGGGGTACTCGAGAGAAGTGTGCGGGGTACGTCAACACAACTGCAATTTGGAGAAAACTAAATTTTTTTTTAAGTTTTACAGCACTTTATTATTTTCATACTTTTTACACTCAAAAATTTAATCGCCCGCCCAGCTACGATTAAGTTGATTAAACAAACGTGTTGCAATGGTAGAAAAAAATGTTGTGTGTCTGAAAACTGTAGGTACAAGGAGTACTTACAATTTTATTTTAAAGGGGGTACTTATAATTTTTTTATAAAAAGGGGTACTTTATATATAAGATTCAGAAACACTGCTCTAAAACATCATTGTGGCCCAGTGATAACAGCAGGGAACTATGAACCAGAACTCCTGCAATTCCACCCAGGAAATGAATTTGTCATATTTGGGGCAAATCACAATTTATGTACCTCAGTTTCCCAACTGCAAAATAAGGATAATAATCCTTGCTCACAGGGATGATGGCGATTTAACTGTTGTGTGTAAGGCACTTTGAGACCCTTGAATGAAATGATATATAGACATTTATTATTATATCATCATGTTTGTCTGTTCTCATCATTTTAATGACCAGAAAGGCAGCTGAAATGGTTTTGCATATTGACAGTTTTAAAATTGCCTCCTATAGTCAAGAAGAGGATGATGAGATACCCTCCCGATACTATGTTCCCAGTTATGAAGAGGTTATGAATGCAGGCTATCCTGAGACAAGAGAGTTGGACAGAAGCACCAGGATCAGCATATCTCTGCCCTCTTACGAATCTCTCACCGGGATTGATGAAACAACACCAACTACAACCACTGCAACTGTCGATTCGAACATAGAGCGGCAGCCAAGCAGGCACAGCTCTCGCTTGAAAAAACAACTGAAACCCCTGAAAGTTCGGAGAATTAAGTCTGATAAACTGCATCTAAAGGACTTCCGAATAAACCTGCCAGACAGAAACAGTTCAGGTCAAATAACAATAGAACCGTTGACCCCTCCTCCACAGTATGATGAGATCCCAGATAAAGCGCCAGAGAGCAAGCAAGTGACCTAAAATCTGTGTATTATCTAGGGGGAAACACTACTGAATACTTGATCTATGGGTACAAATGTCGTCAAATTCCACAAGCTTTAAAAGATCAAGGAAATGCAGGACTATATACCTCTTTTTCAGAATGACCATTCCAAGACGTGGCTTTTCATGAAGTACCACTAAAAGTTAAACACTAGTGCAGTTGATACGCTGAAATAAATGAAGTTTAGAAGTATCAAATCTATACTTTAAAAAATTAAGTAGTGCATTGCATGCATTTCTTGTAGTCCTTTTTTCTACACTAGATTTTTCTAAGCCACTACAAGGGATTTTTAACCAATAATTTTACACATAGAAAAGGAAAGGTATTTTTTTTAAGTTTCTCTCCTCTTCCACTTAAGAAAAACGAAACAACATTGTGGCTTTCTCCCCCTCCATTAAAGTGGAGTTCAGATAACGGTTGAAAGAAAGTCTGCATTTTATAAGGTTTCATAGTCATGCTGTGAAATAATGTATTGAATGAAATGACAATTTTGAACCATCAGATTTGTTTAATTCTTTCAGCAGTAGCTCATGTTGCCTATGAGAAGCTTTTTAAGCACTGGCAACTAAAGAGGAGAAGGTGTTTTTGGTGTTCCAGTGTGAGGGGACAGTGTGTTTAAAACTACTCTGTAAATTCATTTGTTTGATAGCTACTCCACTATGCCACAACAAACATGTTAAATGTATTATGTGTTTAGCTTGTATGTGCTGAGCAATTGGAGACTTTTTCTAAATAAATGTGTTATGTGTATATTGTAAATGGGAACAACACAAATACTTTAATCAGGGGCTGTAAGAAATGTTGGGCAAAATGTTCTTTCTGCTCCAGCGTGGGAAATTGAGAGTTTTAGCATCCTTCATACACACAGTCTCTCTTCTGGGTTTTCAGCAAAGCTACATAGATTACAAAAGCATGCTCAGCTGTGATGCCATATAAAGGGAATGTGCATACCTGCATAAGCCAGAAATAAGCTTTTCTGAACTTGCAATGTAGAAGTCCTGAACATGCAAATCACAAGCCAGATCCCTTTCTCCGGCGTGCTTGAGTGTGCTTGCATTGACATTTGGCAAGCCAAAATCAACTAGGTGCCTTTTCCTGATAATGGTCTCGACTATCTGGTGACACAGCAGAGAAGAAACCACTTGCATTGATGAATGTGGTATAAGGCAGAGAATCTGATACTGAGAAAGTAAAATGCGATCAAATAATACGGACGGCCTGTTTGAGACAATGCTATGCCCTAGTGTGTTTGATATAAATGCAGCATGGCCAACGTGAAATTGAATCATGTAACACTTGCAAGGTTGACAAATTTCTCCTTTTTACAGGACAGTTTTGATGCTGTCTACAAACTCTTTCAGGCACTCTTTGCTAAACTAGACTTTATATAATAGTAAAATAAGCTAGAAAAAAGGGATTTATGCTATCTTGGTGTTTGGAAAATATCTGAAGAACACTTTTGAGACCATGCTACATATAGGTGTCTGTCACTGAGGTATATTTTCTGTTCCCAGAAGCTGGCCCCAGCTAGGGTGGAATGAGCTTTGCTCCTTGTGAGACAGTCTTATAATATTTCACTGTTTTGCAATGCTTACAATTAGGTAACATTGATTCTGGAGTTCAGTGGAGGTGGGAGTTGCTTCATTTTTATGTCTAGTAGGGAAGACACGCTTGAGCAAGATTTTATAATATCCCAAAGGGAGACAGTTTCCCAGTACTCTGTGGCTGCATCTACACTGGCATGATTTTGCGCAAATACTTTTAATGGAAAAGTTTTTCCGTTAAAAGTATTTGCACAAGAGAGCGTCTACACTGGTACGTGCTTTTGCGCAAAAGCATTCGTGTTAGTGTAGACGCTTTCTTGCGCAAGAAAGCTCCGATGGCCATTTTAGTCATCGGGCTTTCTTGCGCAAGAAATTAATGTTGCCTGTCTACATTGGCCTCTTGCACAAGAATACTTGCGCAAGAGGGCTTATCCCTGAGCGGGAGCGTCAGAGTATTTGTGGAAGAAGCACTGATTTTGTACATTACAACGTCAGTGTTCTTGCGCAAATACTTGCGGCCAGTGTAGACAGGCGGCAAGATTTTGTGCAAAAGTGGTTGCTTTTGCGCAAAATCTTGCCAATGTAGACACAGTCTGTCCCTGTTTGATAAACAAATCAGAATGTGCTTGCACTGCATATATGTAGCTGTAAGAATGCACAACTTTTGGAATCCTTGTCCTTGATTCATACTTCCTCATACAACACATGCGAATGAAAATTAATAAAGTGGGGGTGTTTTTATTTATGATAAGGGGCAAAGTTTGCTGAAGTCCAGATTTTGGCCCTTAGTTTAAACCCACTACTGGTAGTGTCTAGAGGAGTAGTAATGTAAGAAATTGTTGGTACAATTGAAGTGATAGAAAGAAACTTTCTAAACCTAATCCTTTTCCTTAAGAAAGCACCTTCCTTCCCAGCTGCGGTCTCTAAAACAGATAATTGCCTACTCCTTCTAACTTGCTTTTTGGCTATTTCTAACTGAGTTTGGAGCACTATATCTTTCTAAATTAAAACTGAGGAAAAGGAGGAGGGTGTGAAGTAATGATTAAAGCTAAAGGTCTAAGAAGGAGCAGTCCAGGTTCAAATTCCAGCTCAGTCAGCTAGTTGCTTGCTCTGTTACCTTAAGCAACAAATGTGATTGACAACCACTTTAGTGAAAAGGCTGATGATCCCTTAAAAGTGAGTGTTTGAACTGCACGTTTGCCGGGTCAATAATTTCCCCTCTCTCCCAAAATCCAGATACTGTTTGAAGAAAATCTGTTTCTTTGGCTGTGAAGCCACTTTATGCCAAATTTCAAGACAGTCTCTTGATGACAAAGTAATCCATCTTCAGCATTGTTCTGCCATCTTTTTACTGTCTTTTTGGGTCTAACACTGTCTTAGTTTGTACCCTGTTACGATTTTTTTTAATTCACATCAGAAGGAAGTCATCTTCTGTCCCATTTTGGTGTCTACCGTACTTTCTTTTACATAAAAAGGATATAGAATAAGATATTCAGAACAGAGGGCTGAATCCTGCTCCTTGCAAGATTCAATGGAAGTTTTTCCACTGGAAACATCATTAGGTCATTAAAGAAGAAACTTCAGGGCTGTTGCTGAAGGAACACCTGCTATATACTGAGTCAACTCAATCTACATCATATTTGGCACACCCATTTAATTTGGATAATTGCCAGGGAGAGCAGTTCCAACTACTGCATTTCAGCAATTTTGAACAATGAATCGTAGTGTTTGTGTCTTTCCAGCAACTATCAAGTGTGACATCGTGTTCGCTAACAAAAATCTCTGTTCACTTCCAAATCTTCTCAAATATGTTGTCAGATTAGTCAGTTGTACTATAGCAAGGCTTTTAAAATGTGTTAATAGATTAGAAACAAATTAATGAAATACACCAAATGAATATAAATCAGCACAAATATTAGCATAACGTTACTCTCCTAATTAGCATAAGTTACACATTTATATTCTATGCTTTTTGTTCTAAGTAGTTTTGTTAATCATTCTGCAGAGTATTATTGTCAGGCTCTAGGAGTAGTGGGATTTTACTACCCTATCTTCACTTGGGGAATACCTGTGGCCCTGAGGCAGCAATAGCCAAGAAGAAAGGCAACAAAATCAAGCCCAGATGAACATTCTTATTCCACAACGACCACTTGGCTATGGTTCAGTTTCATGTATGAACAAGTAAATTGATCATATTTTCTATGGTAGAATGAGCTAATGAGACAAGGAGTCCAAATCAATTAGATGAGATCTGAAAAGGAAGAACACAGTCCAAGAAACACGATCTTAAGCTATGCTGTGTATGTATGGGGAAAAAAGTTATAAATCATATTTTTTCTGATTTTATATAAGCTCCACATGTAATCTCAATCAAAATCTCAACATTTTTTATTAGAGCTGCTTCAAGCAAGTGCCCAGACACTGAAGCCAATGGAGTTACTCTTATTTATGCCAGAGATCATAATATACCAAATACTGCATGTGAAGTAAAGCAAGAGTTCTATTCCTCTTAATATCTGTATAAAGTGGTTGTGGAATTTATTTCTTTAGTACTGCATAAATTACAAAACTGGTTAACCAAGCACAGAGAATAATGCTTCGTGCCTGTCCTTTATAGGTGAATACATCAATGATGGATGGTTATAACCTCACCAGCATATTGCACACTTGTATATTGCACTGTAATGTCCACTGGTTAGCTGCAACACCCATCAAAAGTCCTGAAATTTGTGATAAGTAGATATTGGTTTCTGGATAATACAGTAAAATTCTTTTAATCCACAATTCCTTCTTTGTCCAAATCTGTGCTCCCTAACCTGTCAGTTGGCCAGTAGCTGCCTTATCTGCTGGCCTTTATGGTTTTTTAACCTCTGTTCTTTTATCTTCTAAAACATTCTGGATAATAATGTTTGTGGCACCAAAGGGAATATGTTTTCATAATTTAATTTTCAAGCTCAGTGTAAGGCATGTGTCTCGCAAGAACATATCTTAAAAGGCTATTGCTAAAAAGAGTATCTAATTTCATGACATAACACTGAAGCAAGCAAATCTGAACTGAGCTCCAATCATGTATTCTTTCCCAGCAGGAGTAAAATTATAGGACTTCATTGTAATCAGATTTTTAAATTGTCAATCAAGAAATAACATGGGTATAAAAGGAAAAGAACAAAATGAGCTGGAGAGTTGAATCAGCTTAAAACCAAACATGTGGCTTTGTTTACAAAGAATTCCTTTTCTACTTTTCTTTAAGAAAAACCAGTGAAAATAACTTGTATAAAGGAATACACAGTACAATTTGACATATGATTTGGAAAAATGAAACCAACTTTTCCTCAAAACTGAGAAATGCAAAAAATGAAAGTAATAGTAAAAATGTAAAATAGATTTTTTTTAAAAGGTACTAGTAAACTCAAGAAATTCTATGGTGTTTTTAATTAAACTGATGTATCTTCAAAAGAAGTAAAAAGAAGCTAATGGCACCATCTGCTCAGACTTGTTCTACAGGAGCAAGTTTTTCTTCTAATTGTGTTGCCAGAAGAGTTGCTCCTAATTAAGAAATTGTGGTTTTCAAAACTTGACACCTGAAAAATGTCTGTCAAAATGGCAAGAGAGTTTAGAAACAAAATTCTTTTAAGCTGGTTATTTAACATTATGGAGTCTAGGTTAAAAATTCTCAGCAAGTGTGGATTGAACAGTGTCATGTATGATCACTATCTCAAAATCACTTTGAACCTTTCTGGCTTGTGAAAGTATTTTTTGTAATAGGTAAGGTGAAGTTATTGGCATTTTTTGTATATCTGATTTTTTAAATTAAATTCTGCCCCGATCTCATAGACTTTAAGGTCAGAAGGGACCACTATGATCATCTAGTCCGACCCCCTGCACAATGCAGGCCACAGAATATCACCCACCTACTCCTGGAATAATCCTCTCACCTATATCTCAGATATTGAAGTCCTCAAATGATGGTTTAAAGACCCCAAGATGCAGAGAATCCTCCAGCAAGTGATCCGTGCCCCATGCTGCAGAGGAAGGCGAAAAACCTCCAGGGCCTGAAGTTGATTGTTGACATTAATGTGATTGCAGGAAGCTTAATTGGGGTAGACTTCGGCCCACGGTTTTGGTTGGTGTTTTCTTTAACTTTTTCATGATTAACTTTGTCTAATTTATGTATCTTGGCTCGCCACTGTGGTGTGGTCATTTCGCTTTGATTTTAAAGTGGCACTTCCCCATCACTCACAGCGGTGTCCCAGAAACAAAAGACAGGACGATGTAGCACTTTAAAGACTAACAAGAGGGTTTATTAGATGATGAGCTTCCGTGGGCCAGACCCACTTCCTCAGAGCCAATGTCCCAGATCAGGTGTCCCAGATTCCGATATAAACGACCGGAGGGGCTCCAGATAGAGCTTGAGCTCCCTTGACTGGAGGATGCGCTGCTCTGGTGCGGGAGGGCAGGGCAGCAGGGGCATGTGCTACGAGGGCAGAGCTCAAAGTGTGTCTCCTAAGGAGGAGCTGGGCTGCGGCTTTCACACCTGCAAAATTTGAAACGGCATCGTCCGAGAGTGGGGCCACATCCACGCGGGGTGGGCTGGTGGGCGGGGCCCCGCGTGGATTCAGAATTAGCTGCCAAAACGAGCTGGGGGTGGATCCAGCGGGCAGGGGGCTCGGGACAAAGTCGGTGGCGGGGCAGCCCCCGTGCGGTTGTCGAGGAGCTGGGCTGCGGCTTTCACACCTGCAAAATTTGAAACGGCATCGTCCGAGAGTGGGGCCACATCCACGCGGGGTGGGCTGGTGGGCGGGGCCCCGCGTGGATTCAGAATTAGCTGCCAAAACGAGCTGGGGGTGGATCCAGCGGGCAGGGGGCTCGGGACAAAGTCGGTGGCGGGGCAGCCCCCGTGCGGTTGTCGCGCCTTGGTCCCTCTTTGAACGCGGCCTGGCGCACACTCGCGGGGCCCCGCCTGGGCAGGAGCCTCGCCGGGGG